CTTCTTCTTCTTCTTCTTCTTCTTCTTCTTCTCCTTCTCCTTCTCCTTCTCCTTCTCCTTCTCCTCCTCCTCCTCTTCCTCCTCTTCCTCCTCTTCCTCCTCCTCCTCCTTCTTTTTTTTTTTGAGACAAGGTTTCTCTGTAGCTTTAGAGCCTGTCCAGGAACTAGCTCTTGTAGACCAGGCTGTCCTCGAACTCTCAGAGATCCGCCTGCCTCTGCCTTCCGAGTGCTGGGATTAAAGTTGTGCGCCACCACTGCTCGGCTTGTTTTGTTTTTGTGACAGAGTTTTTCTCTGTAAAAGCTCTGACTGTCCTAGAACTTGCCTTGTAGACCAGGCTGGCCTCAAACTCACAGAGATCCTCCTTCCTCTGCCCCCTAAGTACTGGAATTAAAAGTGCGCACCACCACCGCTGGGCTTGTTCACTTATTTTTAACTTTTTTTTTTAAAAAAAAATCAAGAGCCAGGCCAAGTACACACTCCTTGATCCCAGGACTCAGGAGGCAGAGGCAGACGGATCTCTCTGAGTGTGAGACCAGCCTGGTCTATATGGTGAGTTCTAGGACAGCCAGAGCTACATAGTGAGATCCTGTCTCAAAAAAAAAATACATGTATTTTCTATGTGTATGTATGTCATGACATGTGAGAGTCAGAGAACAACTTGCAGGAGTCGGTTCTTTCCTTCTACTATGTGAGTTCCAGGCATCAGATCAGACTCGGGCTTACAAATACCTTTGCTGAGCCACATGGCCAGGTGTGTGTGCATATGTGTGTGTGTCTTAATTGTTTAAAGATTTATTTATTTTATGTCCTTTGCATGCATGTATGTATGTGCACTGCTTCCATGCCTGGTGCCTGCAGAAGTCAGAAGAGGGAGCCAGATCCCCTAAAACTGGAGTTATAGATAGTTTGTAAGCTACCATGTTCACTTAGTTAAGATTTTTATTGCTGTAAAGAGACACCATGACCATGGCCACTCTTATAAAGGAAAACGTCTAATTGGGACTGACTTACAGTGCAGAGGTTTAGTCTGTTATTGCATGGTGGGAAACATGGTGGCATGCAGGCAGACGTGGTGCTGGAGAGGTAGCTGAGAGTTCTGTATCTGGATCCACAGGCAGGAGAAGGAGATTGCCCCACTAGGCCTAGCATGTAAGACCTCAAAGCCCATCCCCACAATGACACACTTCCTCCAACAAGGCCATGCCTCCTAATAGCACCACTCTCTATGGGCCGAGCATTCAAGCACATGATTCTAGTGGGGGCATACCTATTCAAACCACCACATTTATGAGTGTTGAGAATCGAACCCTGATCCTCTGGAAGAGCAGTCAGTGTGCTTTCTCTGTGCAGGCCACACTTGTGGCTCAGATGACAACTCTGGCTGTACCCATGGCCGTGTCGTTATTTGGCCCTCTGAGCCTGGCCTCCCATGAATCTTGTCTTCCAGATCCTCCCCAGCCTTCAGGCCAGTGGTGCCATGCTGGATGTGGTGGACAGCTGCTCCATGCTCTACCGTCTCCAGATGGAAGGTAGCCGAGTCTCTTCCCTTTCTCTACACAATGAGAGAAATGCATGATTACTGGTCCTAAGGGTGGGTGCCCAAACCACAGGCCTCGGGATGAATGCATCTGCCTATAGCTTTGCATGCGAGCTTATGCAGTGGTCTCCGTGCCAGTTCAAAGCAAAGGGCCTCAGCTGTCCTTTACTCTATTCTCCACCCCTCCTTGGCATAGTGGCCTTAGGCTGTGAACCCCTGGCAGGCCTTTCGGGACACCTGGCTACTGGCTGATGCCTCTTTTTCCTAGATCACAGGAGGTGCTAATTTCCCAACTCTGACATTGCAGAGGCTTCTCAGCCTGTCACCCTAGGATTCACAGTTGCCTGGACGGGTCTGGCTTCCTGCCCATGGCTGGAGGCCAAATGATGCCCCACAGAGAGAGATGCTGAGGAAGGCCAGAGCTCCAGATCCCCACTGTGAGGGGAGAGGTGGGGACCTGAGTGGCTGGCAGGCTGTGAGAGGCCTCTCACTTCCTCATTGTTATGAGGCAAAGATCACTGTTCACTTTTTTTCTGGAAGCGGGGGAGTGTTTGAGACAGGTTTTCTTTCTGTGTAACTCCAACTGTCCTGGAACTCACGCTGTAGACCAGGATGACCTTAAACCCACTCCTGTCTCTGCCTCCTGAGTGCTGGGAGTAAAGGCGTGTGCTGCCACTACCTGGTCCTCTCTGTTCAATCTGATAGATTGAATCCAATAAATAGATGTTCAGGGTCCTCTGGGTGGATGGGGATGCCGTAGAGAAGAAACCTGAACCTAACATCTGAGGGCTGAGAGGGAAGAAAAGGAGGTGGAGGCTGGAGTCTGGGGCAGAGGTGGGGACTGTCTAGTGTAGGAAGATTCAGAGTTAAGGAGAAGGGTGCTATTTATTGATTCCACTGGCTTTCATTGAGTGCCCATTGTGTATCAGGCGCTATACTTTAACAATGTGTTTTTATTTTGTATGTGAGTATTTTACCTGCATGTATGCCTCTGGACTGTTTGTGTGCCTGCTGCCTCTGGAGGCCAAAAGTGGGTATTGTCTTCCCTGGAAATGGAGTTATAAAAGACTGTGAGCCACCTGCAGGTACTGGGAACCAAACCCAGGTCCTCTAGAAAACAGCCAGTGCTCTTAACCACTGAACCATCTCTCCACAGGTACTAGACTTGTGATTACATAGGGAAAATATGAAACATGTTTTTTGGGGGTCTCAGGGAGCTAGGAATAGTTTGATAGCCCGTGACAATTTTTCGAATTTGCTTTTGCCTCATGGATTTGTTGCTTTTCTAGGGAGACAAGGAAGGCACAGGCCTTGGTGGCCCCACTCGTCACCCTGCCTCTCACTGGGACAAGATTGGATAGGCTTCCGAGGGATATGGGTGCAGGACCAAGTGTAAGACACACTGCTGCCTCACACCAAGCCCTTGGCTCCTCTTCTTGTCCCCCTAGGGGTGTCCCTTGGCCAGCGGTGGCAGGCTGTCCTACCGGTGACTAAGAAGCATACCCAGGACCACGTCCTTCTGTTCAATGACGCTCACTTCCTGATGGCCTCTCTGGGTGCCCGGGACCTCCAGACCACACAGGAGCTGCTGACCACCCTGAAGGAGGCCAGCGAGTACGTGAGACCCTGAGACCATGCAGTCTGCCAGCTGAGAGGGTGAAGGAGTGCAAGGGCTGAGCCAAGGCCTGCTAGGAGTCACCCTGCCTTCTTGGGGGAACCTTAGAGTGAGGTCTTACTGGTGAGCATGGTTTTGAAGATATCCATGCTTCTAGATGGTTATTCCCCAGGTGGGTGCCCATGCAGGCGTATATTTCATAGGTATCTGCTTCCAGGAGCCCAGTTGGTGTCTTCTTTGCTCTGAGCCTCAGTTTATCTGTTGGAAATGGTGCCTTCTGGACTGACAAGGGTGTCCTGGGAGGATACTTTAGTATCCATGGTAGTGCTGGCTGTTGATGCCCAGGCTTTGCCGGCAGGGTCTGCAGTATTGATCTCTCTGCTGTGCTGTTACACCATTTTCTAGATGGGCAAACTGAGGCTGGGGGCAGGGAGCCCTGTCTTCGCCCTACATTGGGCAGATGTCTCCTTTTCCCATCAGGCAACTGTGAAAGGCCCTAAATTTGCATCCCTTGCCAGGACGGAACTTTATAGAGTGGATGCTGAGCTTTGGTCTTGGTGACAGGTCCCCAGGAGAGAGCTGCCAGCACCGGTTGGCACAAGATGTGGGGCTGCCCCTGTGCCAGGCCCTTGTGGAGGCTGAGAACGGGAACCCTGACCAAGTCCTAGAACTTCTCTTGCCAATCCGCTACCGAATCGTCCAGATTGGGGGCAGCAACGCCCAGGTAAGCCAGCTGTGGACAGGGAACCAGAAGCTGGAGAGCCTGGCCTAGCAGCCGAGTGTCTCCTGTGTGGTTGGTTCTTGTGGGGTAGGTGTACCGTTTTATGCTGACACCAGAGTTTGTGATGAGGGTGGGTGTGTGTCTCAGGGGTTCCTTTGGGTTGGGAGCCCATCCCTGGTCCGCATTGCAGGTGCCTAACTTGCCTAACTGACATCATAGAGAGACGTCTTCAACCAGCTGTTGATTCATGCGGCCCTCACCTGCACTTCCAGCGTCCATAAGAATGTGGCCCGGTGAGCACTGCCCTTCCTACGGTCAGCCGGGCGTGGGTTAGTTCCCTACACAGGATCTGCGTATGCATGCACACACCTGCCTTGACATGTGTGCTTCTGCTTGTGGGGTTCAGAAAGCCGGGAGCAAATGGGGATTCGGTTCTCTTTCATTAGCAGGCTCAACTTGACCAAAGGGTACAGCCCATGCTACCCTTTTGCCCAGCCTCCTGCCTCCTCAGTCTCCTTCCCATTTGGTCATGTTGAGCTACACAGAAATCCAGTACACCTGCTCTCTGGTCCTTGCATGTGCTGTGCCCTCTGCCTGGGATGCCCTGTCTCCTTTTTAGTCCACTTCTTTAGGCCTCCTCTTGCAGTATCTTAGCTACCTGTGCTGGGTGTGAGATGCAGTACTGAGTAGGTGGATATGTGGATCCTATGAAAAAAAACTAGTTCATCACGCAAATATCTGGGCAGTCACGTAATTGCGATCGGGAGGATGACAGTGGATCTGGCGAGGGGGTAAAGGAACAAAGGGGTGTCCCATGGAGGGGTGTAGGGAGACTAAATGCCCAGTGCACTTAGCCAGTGGGCCTGGTTAGGAGAACGTCATAGACCTAGAAGCTGGAGGTATCTGGGACACTCAGGAAAGGAATTCCTGCAGCCCTAACCATTATCCTTCCTTCCCCTGGCCCACCACCCACCCCGTCAAGGAGAGAGTCCCTGCATCCTTGTCCTGTGAGAAGAGGTCTAGGCAGGTGCCCTGGCTATTGGGCCAGACCTGCAGCAGTGCAGGTGATGGCTGGGAGCATTTGAACTACTTTGAACTCAGAAATGTCATGGACACATGCCCCTGTTTTTGTCATTCCATGTCCACATGCAAAAAGCCACATGTGATGCTGTAGTGGTTGAGCCTCCTGGGGACCTGCTGTGGGTAAAAGGTGGGGCCTGCGGTCACAGTGAGAAGGATGTGGGCTGTGTGGACAGAGGAGCGGGTTGAGGCAGATTCTAGGGTGCGGGATGGCCAATACTGGAATAGACATAATGCAGCTCAGGTCCTACTCAGGAGAGGTGAGGTAGTGCAGGGGAGAGAGGCAGCCCAACGACCTAGGAAGACACTGCAGGGGTGGGGCATTCCTTCCAAGTGCCTTGCCTCCCTTTGCAGCCCATCTCCTGCACAGGCAAAAGCCGTCTGCTGTGGTCTGGGATGGTTTGTGCATGGCCCCCTGGGTTTCATGTACTAGACAATGTGTTCCCCAGGTTGTAAGTGTTGAGAAAGGGAAGAGGGTTGGGAGATGAGAACCCCTGGAATGGGATCCTGGGGCCCGTCCCCAGAAGATATTAAAGCCATTCTCGAGGGACCCTAGTTAGTGCTCTGCACAGGAGAATGTTATAGAGCGGAGCCCCTTGTCTTGCATGGCCTCTTCTGCATACAGCCATTTGCCTCTCTGCCTCTCTTCCCAGCCAAGGAGCCTCATCTGGAGCCAGATAGGACCTCCATATTAGCCTTCCAGTTTCTGAAACCTAGCTAAGTAAAACCTTTAATTTTACAAAGTACCCAGCCTCAGATATTTGTCATAGCAGCAGAAAGTAGACTGATACATTCCTACCCTGGCTGTGGCGTTGTCCCTACCTGCGTATCAAGTCCCAGCCCCTTCACCTCACTCACTCCCCATGGACCCACCACTGTTAATCTGTTACTATCTTAATCTCCTTGGGTGTTACCAAAACAAACCAAACACAGACATGGTGGTTGCTTACACACTGGACTGAATTCAACGAGACAACTCATTGTGTAGTGTTGAAATGTCTCACACGAGTCCAGCAGGGTTCAGTTTCTGATGTGCTCCTCTTCCGGACACAAAGCTTCTCACTATGGAGTGCTTCCCATGAGCACTTAAGAGAACAGATTCTCATATGTTTCTTATAGGAACACTAACCCCACTGTAAGGATCATCCAGAGGCCCTACCTCCTAAGTCATGCTGATGACAAGGGTGTCAACATTTTGCCACAGCAGGGACTGTTCCTCTGGTTGATCCTATGTTTACTTTCTTTAAATCAAGTCTTCCCTACACCTACCTACCTACCTACCTATTTTTTCACTTGCTTTTCCTGAATCAGTCTCACATGTGGCTTCCTGCCAGACACCAGGCCTCTTGTCCCTCATGTCCTCAGCATTAGACTGTGACAGGAGCCTGAGATATGACATGTTGAGCCATGGCTTCCGCCTAAGGCAGGCAAAGCCACAGTGACAGCCCGACACTGGAGTCCTTATCGCTAGTGTTTGTCTGTAAGGCAGAACCAAAGTACCATCCAACTGACTGTACCCATTTGCTCCTGCCAGTCATGCTTTTACCTTCTTCTAGAAGGGTCTATAACAAAAAACTCCTTGTGTTTCCACAGGAGCCTTCTGATGGAGCGTGATGCCTTGAAACCCAACTCACCCCTGACTGAGCGGCTCATCCGCAAGGCAGCCGCTGTGCATCTTATGCAATGACCCAGGCCCAGTCCTTGGCCTACAGCTCAGTGCTAACCTCCTGGCATTAGGTTAACTGTCCGGTTGGGTCAGGGTTAGGAAATAGCTGGGCCTGCTCGTCAGAGAATAAGGTTGAATTCTCCAAATCAGTCTTTGGTGGAAATAGAGGACAGAAGTTAACTTTGAGTGCTATTCAGGATTCCTCTCAGGGTCAACATGCATTTTTAAGCCTTCAGAACCAAAGCAATACTGTTATTTGCAGGTGCCTTGAACATTGTACTTTCTTGTTCAAGTAGGCCGGCATGGCAGAGCTGTGGCCAGCTCAGCCGGGAGGTATCCAAGCGCCTCCCACACACCTGGCACAGTGAAACTTTTCATTTAGTTCCCCTTCTCTTCTACACAGGGCCTGCTGTCCCATTTCCCTGGGGAGGATTTCAGTGAACTGTCCAGGGTCCCAGCTATCAGAAGCTTTTCCTTTTGTGAGGGGGTAGGGTTGAGGGAGGGTGTCGGGGTCCGATGCCCCAACATAAACTACTTTTCCCTCTCTGGACCGGCGTGGAGGAGATGGGAATAAAGACACGACTCACATGGTTTCATTGGGAGGGAGATTCTTTCTCAGTGGTTCCTCATGAAATCCCGAGTTCACATCCTGAAGAATTCCTCCGTTTATTCTCCAAACAGTCTTAATACCATAACTTAACTGAGGGTGAAATACATTAGCATTCTGTCTCCTAGGTAACCAGGTGAATGGCCTTTTGTCATGTCCACAACTACCTGTCTGCTCTGTATGCTATTACAAAGAAAGGAACAAAACATCCTGACCTTTTGTTAGGTTAGCGACAGCCTGCCTGGCAGGATACGTGACCCATCTCAGGTGTGGCCTATGGCTTGATGGCTTGGCTGCCATGCCATATAGAAATATGGGGCTACAGGTGGGGGGGGATCTGCTTCATTGACCTTGATTGTCAGCCCCAGACTACTGCACCTGCCACTATCCCCGGAGATGAAGGGAAGGGTGGCTTCTGCCTCCCCGAGGGGATCTAGTGGTGCCAACTGGAGCTTTAAATTGCACATGGGAGTGGAGCTTAAGGGATGTGGCTTCCTCGGCCAACCTCTGATTCTGCTTGTATGAGTGAGTCTGGGACCCGAACCCGGAGCTCCTCTGCTGTGGCAGATAACCAGAACACTGACATGACTGCCACAAGGTTTGAATCCATCTCCTGCTTCCGTGGCAGGGACATCCCCCTCAGGAAGTGCTGGTGCTGTCTTCTGGAAGGGGAGGTGCAAATGCACAGATGCTCCTCGGGTCCCTTCAGTTCCCACTGAAGTATGGACTGGTGGGCAGGCCTCTCGGGGGACATGGAGGTCTCCAAACCCCTGAGTTTTGCTCACTCTGCTCAGGCTTGTGTAGATTCTGGGCATTAAAATAATTTAATCGGTCCCTTTGACTACTCGCTCCTATGGGCATCTCTGAGCATCACCTAGCTGCTAGGTTTGGTTTGAGCCCTGGGGAGATGGGCTTCTCCTTTAATTTTCAAGAAATTGTGTAATTGCTATAGGATATTAAGAGGTGCTATCTCTCTACCCAGGGGCCTGGGAGTCTCACATTTTTTTAACTGATTCCAAATAATGCATTATTTACCCAGGAAGCAGGAGCCTTGTTCTCTATTTTAGGAAGCCTTCCACCCTGCCTGTGGGCTGGTGAGAGTGCCTTCTATTTGCCCCACAGCCCTCGGTACCTGCCCCTGCTATTATACCACTTTCTGCTATGATTTCTCTCTGGTCATTGAGTGTGAACTCTGTATCACCCAGCCACTCAGTGGCTTCCACTGAATACCTGCCTGTAAAAGCGGGTGTATAGGCTTTAATGAAGGAGGGCATGAATCTACCAGAGACAAACCACTGATTTAAAGTGTGTGTGTGTGTGTGTGTGTGTGTGTGTGTGTGTGTGTGTGTGAAGAGATGGCTCCGTGGTTAAGAGCACTTGCTGATCTTCTAGTGGACCAGAGATCAGTTTTCAGCATCCCTGTGTCAGCTCACAATTGCCTGAAGCTCTAGCCTCAGGGGATGTGACACCCTCTTCTGTCCTGTGTAGGCACCTGTATACATACATGTACATGATCACACATCAACAAAGGAATAAAAGTATATTTTAAAAACCAAAAGAAAATGAAACAGTGAATTATTTAGGGGTATGCTTTACTGAACATCTACTTGAATTGATATGATATAAAGAGAAATGTTGGTGAACTTGCATATGCTGGGATCTAACACTTTCAGGGGAACAGAAGTGGGGTCAAGAGCTTTTGAGGCTTTGACCATAGATGCACCTGCCGCTGCGGTTCTGCCCGTCCTCTTGGGCATGAATCAAGAAAGCCTGGCTCTTACAATTCTAGCTATAGTGCAGGTCACACTGAGCTGGTCACCATCCCTGGCAGGTGAGCAAGCTTGGGCACAACAAAGCCAGCTTGCATAGGCAAAAATCTGCAGACAACCAAACTGATGGCCTCCTTGAGTTAAACGACCTTGAAGCCAGCTTTCTGTTCAGTGCTATCCAAAGGCTCTTGATACTGGCGCCTAGAATGTGCTGTAGATGGCTCTGTCATGGCAACCCTTCACCAGATTACAGAAACAGGGAGCCCAAGATCAGGGGATCCAGTGGGGGTGAGAGGGAAGGCCAGAACATCAGAGTACAGGAGCGAGACCTCAGGCTGCAGAGGGAGAGTCAAGAGAAATGTCAGGGATGCCAAGACAAGCACTGGTGGTAAAGACAAACTGCTTCCTAGCTGCCTGGTCATTCTCCATACCCCGCCCTCACCGCCTCAGCCCGGTTGCTAGCACAGTCACAGGCGGAAGGCAAATGTCCTCCCTGTGTTTGCTGGGGAGAAGACTCAAGGACACCTCCGGTGGGAGTGTCCTTTACAGTCAAAAGATTCAAAGAAAACACAATAATACAAAGAATCCAGACTCTTCGTGAATTTTCCATTTTTACGTGGCTTATTTTCCTTTCTTTTAATCTATAACTATCTGTACTCTGTCTCTTTAAAGACTTTACCCTTTTTCTTTAAGGCATTAACTTTATTCTCTATATTTTTTTCTTCTCTCTCCCAAGCCTACGTACAGTCATCCAACACTGTGACCCATTTATAGGTCTTGTATGTCTGAATCTGTCTTATTGTGAATCTGTAATATTTTTAGTATCCAGGAGCACTTCTTAATATGCTAAGCAGTTCTTAAAAACTTAAGTTGCACCATGTATAAGTAATACGGTACCGCCTATTTTCTGCCCAGTCTAAACCTAACTGTGCTCTTATTAGGATAATTACGACAGTTTCTGCCTGAGACCAGCACAATTCAGTATGGCAGAGCTGAGCTGCTCCTGCCTCAGAGCCATTTGGTGCCCCTGAGCCGCACAGTTCCAGGCACACAGCAGTCCACATTGCCATCAAGAAAACCGTAGCACTTTACTCCAAATGTTCCATTCAAGAGCTCTGTCTCCCACAGGAGCCAGACAGAGATAGCGATGGCAGCACAGCCCAGAAACTGGTATTTCAAAACTGCCACGTTCTAGTAGACCTGATCTCGCTGCCTACTCAGACAGGAAGAACCAAGCCATGAACATGGTCTCAGCTACTTTGCTCCCGACCGAGTGGGCACACAAACGTCCAGGCCCAGAAATGTTTCATAGCCGGAGTTTGTACCGGCAGCAGGACCCAGGAAGCCGCGTTTTAAAATGGAGCAACTTTTTTTCTGCCGCTAATGCTGAAACAGGAAATCTCTCTACAGCACGTCCGAGCAAACAGCAAAAAGCTGTGTTAAACTCTCTTTCCCTTATTTTTAAGCTCTCTCAGGTTTTTAAGTGCATTTAGTTACCATGATGGGCGCCACTCTGTAGAAGTGGCTTCCTGCCGCCAGCCTCCCAGCTAGCTTTACCCCTGAAATAATTACATGGAAACTGTATTCTTTTAAACACTGCTTAGCCCATTAGTTTCAGCCTCTTATTGGCTAACTCTCACATCTTGATTAACCCATTTCTATTAATCTGTGTAGCACCACGAGGTGTGGCTTACCGGGAAGGATCTTAACCTGAGTCTATCTTGAAGAGGAGAGCTATGGCAACTGCCTCATTGCCTTCTTCCTCCCAGCATTCTGTTCTGTCTACTCCACCTGTCTAAGCTGCTGTCCTATCAAAAGCCAAGGCAGTTTCTTTATTAACCAATGAAAGTAACATGACCTTTCTCCATCAAAGGCTGAGCTTGGGCAGGTTGAGAAGAGGCAGAGCATCCATACTGACTTCAGCCCAGGGTGCTGTCAGACCTGGGCCCTGCATGGTGCCCTTGGGGCTCACAGGCTTTGTGTCTCACTCTCATGTCGGGCAGGCTTGGCTTCTCTGCGGTCACCCATTGCCCTCGGGCATCTTGGTAGACCTGGAGGTTCTCTCAGGACAGCAGTCAGGTCCCCAGCACCACATGGTCCTGCTTGCTGTGTCAGGGTCCCACAGTGCTTATGAGTGTGAGGGTCTAAGAGTCTTAGACACAGTGCTTGAGTCTCCGTGGCCTCACTGCTGTGCTGAGTTGTTTTCTGTCCCTGGGCTCAGCCACCGCAGCTGCTTGTGTCTGTGTGTTGGCCGCCCAGACAGCTGTGTTCACCTTGCTATCCCTTCTCTTCCAGCTGGTCGACCTGGACTCCCCACTGATTCAGCTGAGCCCCGAGGCTGACAAAGAAAATGTGGACTCACCACTGCTCAAGTTCTGAGCAGGGCACCTTCTGTCCTTCGCGGTTGACCTCTGACCGGTCCTCAGGCTGTAGACACAAACGTTGGAAGGAATTGTATTTGACTGGGGGGGGGGCCTGTTACACTGCTTGTGTCTGGAGTGGCGCCCAGGTAGGGTTCCCACTGTGACCTAAGCATCTACTTCTGTGGCTGCCCCGCTCCCTGCCTTGATTCTTTTGTATGTAAAATAGCTAATGACTGTTTGTAAACTTAAATTTGTTTGAAAAGTTAAATATTCTAGATTTAAATTAAATTATAAAGTACATTAAAATATGCTTGATTTTCACACTTGATGTTTGGACATGGAGAGCAGTTTCTGTCTCTCCAGACATTATAGAAGACTCTCATTATCCAACCTTAATTTTCAAAAATATAGGGAACTAAAATTGGTATAAATATCAGTCTCTGGTCCACCCCAGGTACACCAGCCTGTCATCAGGGCAGGCCTGATAACCTGCATTGTTGATACGGTTGGCTAATTCTGATGCAGTAGTCAAAGGGGCACAACTTTCACGGCTGCTCTGAGCTGTGAAGGAGGGTCGCTTCAAAGTGATAGCCCCTGAGCCTGCCACTCTCTCCCCTGGGGCACTTCTGAGCACACACCAATCAGATGATGTGGGACACTGGGAAGAAGGTCACTGGAAAGCCAGTCCCATGCTTGAAGCCTCACTTGCTAAAGAACAACTAGCTACCTGGAAGCCACTGACCTATGGATGACGACAGAAAGCACTATGTGGAGCCTCTCACTGTCCATGGTTGGGAGAAAGAAGTCTGTATGAGTCTCTCATTCCCTGGTTATGTGTTGAATGCAAAGCTG